TTCGGCGCTGAAGACGGAAGGGCGGGACCAAAGTCATCGTCGGAGGAGGAAGTATCGTCTGGGGAGGTTGTTAGGAACTTGACGCGCGACGGATGCACAAGGGACATACCGTCATCCAGAGCCTGCACAGGAGCTTCTTTTGCAGAGACGGCGCTGTCAGCCTCCATTTCGGTACGCGAGCGCTTCGCCTTGCTCGGCGACTGGGACCCGTCCATTTCCATCATGGGCATGCAATTGAGACCGCCGGGGTGGTGCGGGTTGGTTGTCGCAGGCCCAAGCTTGGAATAATCGAATGATGCCGCGTCTAAACGCGTGACGTTGCACTATCACACGCGCTTGTCGGACAGTCGGAGAGTTTTGCGGGATACGTCAGGTACGCTAGCACGCCGTTCACGGGTATCCATGCATTGTGATCACGCCTCAGCAGAATACTGCTGTCATGTTCGCAGACGGTGTGGAAAGCCCACCCATTGCTTTCTTTCCTCCTGTTTCAATTTCAAGTGCTATCATAACGCAAGGGCATCGCCTGCTCTTCTGGCGCCGTGCGAGGAAATGTATGTACGCATTGGACTCATCACGAATCGGATAAACAGAGTGGGGCAGACGAATCATTGCTCCAGCCTCTTTCTATGATGCTATCGTACATGATGCCCATGGCTAATCTTCACATCATCATTACCATCCAAGCGTAGGTGCTGGCTCATAGCTTCTGGTAGTCCAGCTTGCCCTCTAGCTTCTTCGACTCGGCCATCTTCCGCACTGCCTTGTTGAAATCGTCCTGGTTGATCGAGTCTCGGTAGTCTTTGATGGCGAAGAGGCCGCTGCGATGTGTTAGCCATGTCACAGTTACACGGAAGAGACACTTACGCCTCGGTGACAACGTTGCGAAGGTCGGCACCGTTCATGCCATCGCTCATCTTTACAATGCTCTCGAAGTCGATCTCGCCATCCGTCACTACGCTGCCAGAGTGAATTTTCAGAATCTCAAGACGGCCCACTTCGTTGGGTAGGGGGATTTCGAGTTTGCGGTCAAGACGCCCGGCGCGAAGCAGAGCGGGGTCGAGCGTGTCGGGTCGGTTCGTCGCCATGATGATCTTGGTCTGCCCTAGGTAGTCGAAGCCGTCGAGCTGGTTCAGCAGCTCCATGAGGGTTCGCTGAATCTCACGGTCTGCCGACGTTCCCTCGGAGAAGCGACGACCGCCAATAGCATCAATCTCGTCCATGAAGATGATGCAGGGCTCGTGTTCCTTTGCGTACCCAAACATCTCACGGATGAGACGCGCCGATTCTCCAATGTATTTGTCGACAATGGCAGAGCTGACGACCTTGAGGAAGTTTGTCTCGAGACTGCTTGCCACGGCGCGTGCCAGGAGTGTCTTGCCCGTGCCTGGCGGTCCGTAGAGTAGCACTCCCTTTGGCGGTTTGATGCCTACCCGTAGAAACAGCTCGGGGTTCTTCAACGGCAGTTCGATGACCTCGCGTAGCTCCCTAATCTGCTCGTTCAGGCCGCCGATGCCGCCGAAGCTAACCTGCCCTGGGTCTTCGAGCGACATGTTGTAGACGAGCGGGTCGACTTCGCGGGGAAGCATGCGCATGATGGTAAGTGTCGTCATATCGAGGGCCACGCGTGTGCCTTGCTTGAGCTTGGCCTTGTCGACCTTGGACCGGCATCCGACGACGTAACGGGGCCCCGAGGATGCCTTGACAATGACTGCGGCGACGTTAGTGTGGCGTCTTTTGGCAGGATGCACATGTGCACGTACATCGCTCCTCGTCCAACTGCTTCAGCACCTCTCCTATTATCTGGCCGACGCTCTGCAGCGCCTTGATGTTGTCTTCGGATACGTCAAAGTCGTGCTGCAGGCCCTTGATGTCCAGTCGCAGCGCCTTGAGCTTGGCCTCCCATTCTCTAGACTCGAGCAGCTTGGACTTGTAGGCCTCGAGAGCGTGCTCGCGCTCCTGGTCGCCACTTCCGCTCATGGTGGACATGTGCGGCGGCGTGGGTGACGTTGCGGAGGAGCGGCGGCGTGTGGAGGCGGAGGTGATGGCACGCGTGAGGGCGGCGGGCGGTACTTTAAGGCAGCCGAGTTTGCTGCAGAGTCAAGACGGCGTGAATGTGTGCGCAGCCAGCGAAAGGATCTGTCCGCGTTGGGTGGAGTGAGTGTCGGAATGGGAGACGTCGGTGGTGATGGCCACGGCGATGGCCTTGGTGTTGTCCATGTATGTGAGCGAGCTTGGACCAAGACGCCATTTCCGCGGCGAAAGCTAGCCTTCGAAAAAAGTTGGCCGATCAAATTCCTGCAACCACACCCGCAACCGCAATGTCGTCGTCCTTCTTCACCGCGCCGGCCTCACAGCGGAAACGCAAGCGCAGCGAAGCCACCGCCGGCACCCCCAAACGACGCACCACAGACGCGCATGCTCGCCGCATGCAGCGCGAGGAGTCCATCAGCGGCAGCGACACATCCGAGGGCGACGGCGCACCCACGTTCGACGGCGGCGACGATGCAGACAGCGGCTCTAGCTCTTCGGAAGACGAGCACGAGACGGCGGCGGACAAGCGCCTCAGGCTGGCCGAGCGCTATCTCGACAACATCCGCAACGAGGTCGAGGAGGACGTGGGCTTCGACGCCGAGCAGATCGACAAGGACCTGATCGCCGAGCGACTCAAGGAAGATGTTGCGGAGGGCAAGGGCAGGATATACCGGTCCATCGCTGCTGAGCTTGGGTTTGAATATGCATCACACGCCACGGCCTACTCAGGGCTGCATAAAGCCACCACCGGATGCGCTGTCAAGCTGCCGCATGCCTGGACCATCAGCAAGGATCTCGTCGTCGAGAAGTGGGCAATTGCAGACCCGAAATCGTATGCGCCCGACCCCAACCGACCGTCCAACCTGACGCCGCGCACCACTCCCAAGAGGCTCCTGTGGCGCAAGGGAAACAAGAACAAAAAGGGCGACCGCGCCTTTCTGGGTCACACGGGCGAGATTGTGTCTATAGCCATCTCCGACTCGGGAAAGTACCTGGCCACGGGCGATGTGCATACGCGTCTGGTCATCTGGGACGCCGACACCCTCACGCCCCGACACCTCTTTACTCGCCATCGAGATGCCGTTCTCTCACTGTCCTTCCGGAGGGGCACCGAGCAGCTCTTCTCCGGCGGCGCAGACCGAGCAGTCATTGTCTGGAGTGCGCCTGAATCTGCGTACATTGAGACACTGGTCGGACACCAGGACGCCGTCATTGGTGTCGCAGGCGGGTTGGAGATGAACCAAGAGACATGCGTCAGTGTAGGCGCCCGCGATCGCACTGCGCGCCTGTGGAGGGTCGTCGAGGAAAACCAGCTCGTCTTCCACGGAGGCGGTACAGCCAGGCAAAAGGGCTTGGACAAGCTGCGCAAAGGCCGATTTGGCAAGACTGTTGACGGAGACGACAAACAGGATCAAGACGTCGGCGCCAACCTCGACGACGATGCGCCCATCGCATATGCCGAAGGCTCCATCGATTGCGTCGGCCTTCTCGACGCCGGCTTGTTTGTCACAGCATCGGACAATGGAGCCTTGTCGTTGTGGTCTGTCAACCGGAAGAAGCCCCTTTTTACATATCCACTTACCCATGGCCGCGATCCACCGCTCTCGCCCGAGCAAATGTCAGCCAACGACGACGCCGCAACATCGACGAAGCCCGGTCCGCGGCTACCGCGCTACGTGACTGCGCTTGCTACCGTTCCCTTTGCCGACTTGATCCTCACAGCGAGCTGGGACGGCTGGATACGCGCCTGGAGGATTACAGCCGACAAGAAGAGCATTGAGCCCGCGGGCAAGATAGGACGTGTGCCGATTGCGGAAGACGAGTCCATGGTCAATGGCAGCTCTAGGGACGATGCTATTCTCATACGAGGCATTGTGAATGGTCTTGCAGTTCAGGAGAGAGGAGACAGAGGCAAGGATGGGCTGTGCGTGGTGGCTGCCGTGGGCAAGGAGCCCAGGTTAGCCAGATGGATGTCTGCAAAGGCCAAGAACGGCATTCACGTTTTCGAGGTACCGAGAAGAAGCCTGGCAAACGGCACAACTGAGGGCGAGGAGGAGGGTTAGGAAGCATAGGCGAGAAGTCACTTGCATTGCGAGGCGTTTGTGGATGCATATTAGATACCAATTCTCATGACGCATTTAGTGACGACTTCTGGTCACCTTCTTACACTGGGTGCAGCGAGACTCGGTCTCACAGATGGCTAGGGTATGCGTGATGAATGGCTCTGAGCTTGCTGTCTTGACGTTGGGTGTCGTGATGGTGGGCGGGAACTCGTTGCACGCCAGGCCCACAGCCTAGGCCAAGTCGACTGCTGCACCGGTGACGTTGGTGTCGAAGAAGCAAGCAGTGGGCGCTACACGTGGCCGTCGGCATGAGTGCATTTGAGTCGGGCAGCCAGGCGGTCAGTGAGGCTGCTGAGCTGGACACGTAGCCGCCTAGACGAGGCGTGGACGACTCGCAGCAGTGCGAGGCGGGTTGGGTGAGGTTAAGAGGCAGATGGCCGTCGTCGTCGGACTCCAGCTGCGTCTGCCCACGGCTACATCCACGGCCCGTCGCCAGACCATGTACGCGTCGGCACACAGCTTTGCCCGACATCTGCATCAGAGTTGGAGAGTTGGGGCAGCATCGCCTTTTCCGTGTTGGCCAGGTGGACGCGCTAGCACAACGGCAGCGGCCCAACCCAACTGCAGTGCTGGACTCGCTTCACCCGCTCAGCCGCCCAGCGCTCTTTGCTCTCCTGCCCGCCCCAAGACACCGACTGTCCCGCACGACCGCCGTCTGCCGGTCGCACCCAGCGTGTGTCGTTGCTGTAACTGTACAGACTGTTGTAGTGCAGCGCTTCTGGCCCTCGCGCCCGCACTTCGCAGCCCCTCGACTGCTCCACCTTGGCCGTTGCATTGCATCCCATCCCCTCCCCTCCCATCCCATCCATCCCATCGCCCGCACCCCGCCGCCCGGACAAGGTCATGCCGTTAGTCCTAGCCCATCTGCCCCACGGTCGCGCCCTGCCCCAGGCTGCGTCGCGCCGCTATCATGTCAAGGGCGACACTAACGTGGCCATCAGACTCCGGAAGGGAATCACTGTCAACAACCACACGGGCGCCTTCGAAGACGACGACGACGACTTCACCGACGACGACTCGGCCGGCATCCAGGTAGTCTCGGCCAGCGAGGACGAGTACAGCACCTCGGACGCGACCGACGAAGACGCCGAGGAGGAGCAGAGCGACGACGACATCCCAGAGGACGACACAGACGACAACGAAGAGGACGAGGGCTCGTGGGACTACATCGACGAGATCAACCCTTCCGACTCTGCCTCGCGCCCTCGCCTTGTCCACCGTCAGCCTGCGCCGCACCACGCAATCCCCCCACCTGCTGTAGCCCCCCCGCGAGCACCTCGACCCAAGCCCTCGCACCGCGACCGAGCCTCTTCGCGCCACGCAGCCCCCGTACCAGACCCTCCCTCGCGCCTCCCGAGCCACAGCCGCAGCCGCAGCCGCAGCAAGCTGGAGCGCGCACGCAGGCCGCGGCGGCCAAGGCCCCAATCCGTCCACCACCAGGACCCTCTCGACGGCGAGGATGACGACGACGACTACCCATACGCTCCGTCGGCCCGCCCTGGCCACCCTCCGGGCCATCCCAGTGCTGGCTGGGGCCACATTCCCCAGCATGCCCCCAACGGCTACGCCCCAAGCTTGATGTCGGATCCACGCTTCCCATATGCCTTCCCCGGCGGCGGCACCCAGTCGCCTGCGGGCCAGCTGGTTCCGTTTGGCCACGACACACACGCCGCCTATGCTCAGAATCCCTTTGCGCCCAATGGACAGAATCCCTTTACCCAGGGCCCCCCTTCGGCTGCAGATCCGCGAGCTGGCTACTTTCCCGAATACCAGGACTCGCGCCATCAGGACTCGCGTCCGCCACGCAGAGGCCATCGCAACTCCATGCCGCCAGCGCCCCCGGGGGACATGATGCCTTATTCGCCAATGGGCTACTACCCACCATACGGCGCCCCGCCGTATGGCATGCCGCCTCACATGTATCCGCCTTATGGACATGCACAGCATCCCTCCCCTCCGCCGCAGCACCCTCCCTCGAAGCGCCCTACCCCGAAGCCCCAGCCCGAAGAAGAACACCATCCGCCCGCCGCGCCCGCTCCACCCCCACCACCCCAGCCCCCTCAAACTCCGGCTATGCAGATGCAGCTTCAGCCAATGCAGCAGCCAATGCAGCAACAACAGATGCAGCAGCAACTCATGCAGCAGCCCATGCACCAGCAGCTCATGCAACAGATGCACCCCATGGCCATGATGCCTCCGCCACCGCCTCAACAATCTCCGCAACCCGACCCAAAAGAAGAGGGCATGCTCTCTAAGCTTGAGAAGCTCTTGCTAGGCAAAGAGGAGGAAGAGAGAAAGGCAGCCGAGAAGGCGAGAAGAGACGCCGAGTTGGCCAAATTTGATCGCCTTGAGAACCTGCTCATCTCTCAGCAAGAAGCCAAAATAGAGAAGGAGAAGGCAAAGAAAGAGGCGGCTGAGAAGGCTGCACAGGAAGCTGCCGAGGCAAAGAAGAGGGGCGACGAGGATAAGCTCGCCAAGCTCGAGAGCCTTATCCTTGCCCAGAAAGACGAGCAACTCAAGCGTGAGGCGGCCGCGGACGCGGCTCGTGCAGCCGAAAAGGCAGCTGCAGATGCAGAGGCCACCAAGATTGCCGAAGAGAAGAAAGCCGCTGCGGAAAAGGCAAAGTCACTGCTCGAAGCAGCGCAAAAGGCACGCGAGGAGGCCGAGAAGAAGGCGGCCGCGGAAGCCGAAGAGACCAAGAAGGCCCATGAGAAGGCTTTGGCAGAGGCAAAGGCTGCTGCAGAGGAGCTTGAAAAGGGAAAGAAGGCCGCGGAAGAAGAAGCTGCGAAGCTGAAGCCTTCCGACGCTCCAAAGGCCCCGATCAAGTTCAAGGACGCCGTTGGCCGCAAGTTTAGCTTTCCGTGGGAACTATGCAAGACTTGGAAGGCATGTCCCACCAACAACGAGTTCAAGTCCAATGCTAACATTCTATCAGGGTATGGAAGAACTGATCAAACAAGCTTTCCTGCATGTCGATGTGATTGGTCCTCATGTGCATGAAGGCCACTACGACCTCGTCGGACCTGATGGCGAGATCATCCTGCCCCAGGTTTGGGAAACCATGATTCAACCCGACTGGGCCATCACCATGCACATGTGGCCAATGCCTGAGCCTCCACCACCTCCGCCCGAGCCGCCGAAGGAGGCATTTCCTCCACCCCCGCCCCCTCCACCGGATGCTCAAATGTTCATGTCAAGCCATCTTCCACTAAAGGGAAAGGGCAAGAGGGACAAGAGCCGGAAGCGAGAATCTCTGTCACATGCACACATTGTGCAACTCCCACCCCCTCCAGTCGGCTTGCCTGCGGGAGCAATGGCTCCTCCACCGCCACCACCGCCACCTCCTGGGCATTCTGCTGGCGGTCCGCTACCACCCCCACCTGCAGTTGTTGTCATGCCTAGCGGTAGTGGCAGCTCTGGGAGTTCTTCTCGCAAGAAGCCCGCCCCATCACCGTTCTTCAGATGGGCTGCTGGTACCACCGCTCGCAAGGATTCTGTCAAGAAGAAGAAGTAAGATTGAAACACATGGAGACAAAGCAGTTGCAATTGCAGCGGTGGTATATTGCGATCGATCCCACGGCACACCCTGTGTTGTGTTCCTCGTTCGCGTCTTGTTTGTCATCGTGTACATGCGCTTGGCTGGTCTTACGTCTCTTAGCCATTTCCTCCATGCTTCCTTCGCTCAGCTATGCACATGCTGTGGCAGCGTCAGGAACAGCGTGTTTTTGCTTTGCAAATTATTGTATGTGGACTTGGGACTGTTTGTTTATGATTGTGCAGAAAAGCTCAGATATACCATGGTCGTTTAGCGTTGTACATTTCGTATTGTGTATCGCTTTGGCTTCTGGAATACGCCTTCTGCTTCGGCGTTGTGCTCAAGTTTGATTCGTCCTTTTGCAATCGCAAACGAACGCACGGACGACGAACTGGTGATTTTGATTATCGCGTGCTGGGACTGATGAAAGGTGACGAGAATATGAGAAATGGATCTATACAAACGAAAGCGCATGTTCTCGCTCCCATTGCACCGTGACCGGGAATATACGCTTGAAATAACAGCAACATCACAACGCTGCCCAGATAGGCGTATTGAATAATGTCGAACCAATATATAGCCGCCCGGAAAGTCCACCAGATCGCTTTCAAAGCTGCTCTTCGCAACCCCGCTCGTTCCGATCTCTTAGTTTTGGAAGAATTTCTAGCAACAGACGCAAAGGTATACATGGTCATGACACCAGAGCGGAGCTCCAAAATGTTCATAGCCATGAAGTCGGCTATGAACATGTTGGTTGTGATGGGGAAAGTCCTGGAGCACCAGATACAAGGAGTCAAGAAAGACAAGCCAGGACTTGCGGAGAGAAGGAGCAAGTGGGACCAGGACCGCAAAACGCAGAGTGGAGGAGAGAAGCAGAGGCCAGACAACCGAAGGCGATGACGAGAGGTTGGGATTTGGAACGGTGTAGCGTGGCGAAGGGCAGGACACGTGAAGACTGCAGGTGTCCACTAACGGGGGTGTGAGGCAACGCAGGCTGTTCTATTTGCAGCATTCCAGAAGCATGTATCACGCATCTAGGTAGGTAGCATCGGCGACCAAATCTTGGAACCGACAGGTAGCCAGAAAAAGCTTGTTTGCTTAATTACTTCTGCCCGGTATTGTTTCTGCGGGGTACCTTACCGTACCAAGCTTCCGGAAGGCAGGCTCCGCCCCTGAGCTACCAGTCGTGCGCGACACTTCTACCACATTCCGGGCACACCTTTACGCTCGAGCAACATGTTTTTTCCCGATTCTGCGTCTCCACTCGTGTTTCTTGTCGCGAGAATCGTTTCTGCAGCTGCATCATGTAAAGGAGGCGCCTCCGTCCGTGACCTTCGAATGTGGAGCTGAATCTCCCTTGCACAACATGCAGAAAGCGACCCTGGCGCTGATCACTTCCTTTCTTGCCTACGGCGTGCGGCAAAGCAACAGTGTGATGTTATTTTTTGAGGCTGCTCAACAAACCGATGTCTGAGGCATAGCTTCTCGTCGCTAAGGACGCGAGCCAGCCACGGCGATGCGCACGCACAATGACAGCACGAACGCCCCTAGACCTACCGTGTTACCACAAAGGCATGGGCCAGTAGACGGGCATATAATCTGCAGAGGTCTGCACGTCGGAAACGGCACGCTCGTTCCATTTCGTCCTGCTCAACATGAAGTGGACTTCTTCTTTAACGCTTGGTGCTGCCGTCTTGGTCACCTTCTCCACAGCGCAGGATAACACGATCAACGACCGCCAGCCCACAGTGAGTGCACCGCATGAAAACCCGTGGAAGACCCTTTCCGAGGAGGAAGCTGCTAGTGTCAATGAACTTCTCCAAGAGCGAATGAGCTTGACTGGCAACCAAGGATCTAGCCGTGATAGTTACGTGTAAGTCGACCATTGCTAGACACCTCTCACTCGCCGGACACTAATACGATATCAGAGTACAGCTCGCTCTTCTTCATCCCAACAAGACGGATACTCTTCCCTTCCTTGACAGCAATGCTACGGCTCCAAAGCGCTATGCGCGAGCTACTGTTCAAAGCGGTACCACCAACTCGACAGACAAGCACTGGCAAGAGTACATGGTGGGACCATTGCCAGCAACAAATGCGACTGCGGTCGAACCGTTGACTTTCCCGTTCCAAAACTCCCAACCAGGTCGAACACAAATGCATCCCATGTATTCACCCAGCGACGCGACGAGTTTCTTTACGAGGTTCGCGACAGAGACTGAGGATATCTCAATGCAATTGTTCAACACTGTGAGTGGAAGCCAGCCACAACATACAACAACGGAGGCTTACATGCATACAGACTTTTCTTACTGGTAGCATTGGTCTTAGATTTGGAAGCCCGTTCTGGGATGAAGAGGGCCGAACCATCTCCTGGGCAGGAGCATTTGCGGACCCTGGCACCAATCTCAGCAGTGTTACCGTCGAGCCACTCGGATTCGCTGTGAAATTTGACTTGACCGGACCAATCTCGGATACCTGGAAAGCTGTCGGTTGGTACTCGTATGGCAAATTTTACGCCAGCACAGAAGAGTTCCGTGCCGCAATTAACGCTCCCGACTATGAGACGCCACCAGCAAACGTACTGGGAAACTGGACGTCTACCGACAGGCAGGGAACGCCCATGCCTTTGGACAACCTACCGCCGCCGGCTTCTGTCGCTCAGGGCGACCAGCGATTCAAGATCGATACGGAAGAGGGATATATATCCTGGATGGACTTCACCCTCTATCATGCCGTCTCTCAGGACCTTGGCCTGTCGTTGTTTGACATCAAATACAAAGGCAGACGCATCATTTACGAGTTGTCCTTGCAGGAGGCTCTGACATCATACTCCGGCTCCGACCCTTTCCAATCACAAGCGACCTTCTTCGATACCACGAGTGGTATGGGATCGACCTTGCAGCCTCTTGTCAGAGGCTATGACTGCCCTAGTCATGCTACATACCTACCTGCAACATGGACAGAAGGCGACACGGTCAAGACACAAGCTGACGCTATATGTTTGTTCGAATTTGACGCGGGCTACCCAATCCGGCGCCATTCCTTTTCACCATCCGCGCCACACACTAGCGTAGCAAAGAACATCCAGTTCGTCATGCGCACGGTAGCCACAGTAGGCAACTACGACTTCCTCATCGACTACAGCTTCTTCTACGATGGCGGTATCGAGGTTTCTTCACGCTTTTCTGGATACATTGCCGCTGCTTACTGGGAGGATCAGCCTGAGTACGGCTTCCATATACACGACTTCCTTTCGGGTAGCTCGCACGACCACACCCTCACTTTCAAGGTCGATCTTGACATCAACGGCAGGAAGAACAGTGTACAAAAACTACAGTTTGTGCCGACTTCGACAGCGTATCCTTGGAGCCAGGGTCGCGTATACAATACATTCAAGGCTGAGCGATCTTGGGTAGCCGACGAGAGCGAGTCCATGATCAATTGGGCCGAGAACGACAACGTGTTGTACGCCATTGTCAATAGGGACACACCGAACCCGTATGGCGAGTACCCAGGTTACAGAATCAAAAGATCTGCCGGCACCATCCACCTTACACAAACGAACTCGACAAACACTGGCAAGACAGGTGCCTTTGTGACTCACGACTTCTATGTCACACAGCAAAAGGACACTGAGCCAAGGGCTGCGGATGCCAATAACCAGTTCTCCAAGGACGATCCGCTTGTCAACTTTGAGACTTTCTTTGACGACGAGAGTCTGGATCAAGAAGATTTGTTCGTAAACCCACCTCCTTTCTCCATCTATTGTTGATACTGCACCCCGTAATATATCAATTACTAACAGAACACAGAGTGCTCTGGTTCAACCTCGGCATGCACCATCTTCCGCACACCGGCGACTTGCCCAATACTATGTTCAGCTCTGCTCATTCGGCCATGAGGTTCGAACCGCTCAATTACCTTGTAGGCGATCCCTCTGTCTCGAGCAACCAGCAGGTCAGGATTGAATACGATGCAGAAGGTGCTGTCCTGAATGTGGATGAGTTCGGCAAAATGGCTGCCAACAAGACCTGTATTTGATTTACTTCTACATGGATGTCTACATACTGTTGATCGCGCAACATTCCGTCATTACCGTTCATGGTTCTCATTATTCAAAAGTTTTACTACAAGCTGTTTCCAGCTCTGAGGTGCTTCCGTCATGGTTCTAAGCTGTGATAAGCGTGATGAAGGGTGGCTTTTTGTAATTATCTAGCTCTCGCCCTAACTCCCATTCAGATCATGACTGCTTCAAATATGAGGGGTACATCTTTCATCGGAACGCCTTCTCGTATACGTACATGCGAGAACAACTTGATGCGGGTAAAATGGAATGTGCCGCCCACAGGATCCAGGCCCTCGCCTTTCAACCCTTCGCCCTCAACAATGAGTCGGACTCGCTTATAAGTCCTGCTACGATCACATGTAGGTTTCATTCCGCGGACAATGCCTTATTGCATTTCCCAACGTGTCATCGCTGAGTACATCATAGACCGATACGTAATACATGTGCAGCACCCGAGTTGGATAAGCGCAAAGTCCGTGCGGACGACGTGTCATGCGCATCCGTGGTGCCCGCAATCAGGTGTTTTCGATCGAAGCCGTGCACACTTCTTCAATAACGAGGCAGTTTTGTAAACTTTGTGATTGTCGCTACTAGCATTACAAAGCGATGTTCGTCTCAATTAGATTTCGTGAAGCTTTACAACAACCAGTATGCCCTGTCTGTGCTTGACAAGACGACTACATTCACTTTGGAGCCTTTCTCATCGCACACCTCTTGTTCCAAATATTAATCTTCAATAGTCCGTCTGCTTGGAAGGTCGGACTTCCGGATATCTGTGCATAAAACCACGGTACAGTACAATGCGCCCTGTACTTTCTATCTGCCCATTGCAATCTTCAGGACACACTCAGCGGCTTGACGTACTGTTTCCAGATGTCTAAGAACGCCATCCTGTCCTTCCTGCTCTGGAACTTGATCTCTAACGCCGAATACCCAAACCGATTCAGATTAGCAGCCCTCGAGAAACCACCACCACCTCCCGATATATCTTTCAAAGGAATCGGCGAGCCGCTCAACGACCCTGAAGTAACGCTGTCTGATCGAGAAAACCGTAGCATTTCCATAGAGTCGTTGCGTTTCTTGCGAGACGGATTCGCTGCTTCGAAATCCGTCTGTGTGGATGACTTGCGGCGTTTGAAAAGCTTATCAGTCGCCCAACGCGGTGCGTCTTTTGAGAAGAGAAGCGTAAGCTTGTCACTGTCTTTCTTATAGACCGACTCCGTGAGCCATTCGAATGCGTAGTGCGGCTCCTCGACCCAGTGCCCATCCTCTTCCAATGCGCTCGTGTAAAACAGCAGGATCAAGACCTCAGACGTAACGAGCCCACCATCCGCTAGATGCGTCTCGGGACGCCGCCACAGCCGCAAATTTCTTCCACGACATTCAGTCGGATTGTGATCCGAGGATATGCTCAATATGGGTCGATCAAATTCGAGATTAGCAGAGTCGGCACCGTTGTTGGTGTACAACAAGGTCTGGAATCTGTTTGCTGATTCGTGGCCAATGAACGTGTACTTGATGTCAACATACTGCTTGTTGAGTTTCCCGAACGAGCTGCGCGGAAAATCGACAGATACTGCACCGTCAACATACGTGGTAGTCAAGGGTATCGCTGGCCCGGTAGCAGGAAAGTGCTGTTCAGTCCATGTTCGAAGCTTCCCGTCTTGGCTAGAGTGATAGACTGTTCGCAGCGAGATGCCAGTATCTTCTCGATATCGCCACCGAACCTCGCACTCGTGATTTTCGGATCCGTACTTCAGAGACTTTCGTTCGACCTGAACGTTGCGACATATTCGCTTCCAGTCGAGTGCAGCGTCTCCTAATGCCATGGTTGCCAGGGATGTGCGCGAGAGACTGCGCCGCAAAGTGGGAGATAAGGGCTTCTCTGAGGCAGTACCCGTTGACGACGGTGATGCGGGCGAAGAGCTTTCGCTACAGGCGACTGTGGAACTAAAAAGTATCCTATTAGGCTCAAGCGACGTCGGTCTAGGCGACTGCGACCAATCGACTGATCCAAAGTAATCTGGAGACGATGGCTGTAGACTCAAGGTCGGGCGGTTGCTGCCCGTGGAGTCACTCAAGCTTTCTTGGCCAAACATGGTGAAGTTCCCGGAGTGATCTGTCTCGAGGGTATAGGTTCGCAATGGAGCTGGTGGCATGTTGCGGACCTGCTGCTTCATCGCGTCGCTTGGGACCAAGTGTGAGCGTTTCTCCGCCGTAGCTCGCTTTGCGCGATTCTCCTCGATGAAAATCGCGTCATCAACCTGCCGTCTCAGATGATATAGTACAGCAGCTGTCTGAACATCACCAGTAGAACACGTAGCAGGTGTGTCTCCCAGAGAAAGAGGCCGCGATAGTCCCGCTTCTTGAGCAACACGTTCGTCCTCACTTTGCAGCCATCGATCAAAGATTTTCCATTCGCTGAACAACGGGTGTTCGTCGGGAGACGCGAGTGCCAGTGGTGCGCGGTTGTTTGGAACACCAAGAGTGTTTGTGGAGTAAGAGCGGCCGCCTAGATTTACTGTACGAGACGGCGCAGCGTCGAGAAGACGCTGAGTCTGCTTGGTTGCCTCGAGATGTAGCCGCCTAACGACGGTCAGCGACTGTTGTTTCGAGTACGAAAGAGGCTTACAATTGCAGAAAGGAAATGCACATGTTCAGCGCTTGGTAATGACCACTGATCTGTTTCCTCAGCCCATCGATCTCCTTTTCCATCCCGATGTATCTGATCGTGAAGATGAACTTCTTGACGGTCATCTTCTTATCGACGAGATGTTCAGCGTATGGCTCCAGGGTCTTTTCACACTTCTTCAGCGTGTCTTCGAAATCCTGGACAGGGAATGCTGCGCGTTGTTATCTCGCGTCAGTGCATGCCGCAAATGTAGTACACAGATGAACGCTCACGTAGCGGCTGGCCATATTGTTTCATTAGCTCGGCCAGCTCTTTGAGACAGCCATGGAATGTGGTGAATTCCTTAACAAGCCCACTGACTTGCGCTTCCGAATTTTCGTTGGCATCTAGTTGCAATGATGAGCGAGGTGGTCCCTGACGGTTGCCACCAGAGGGGGGTAGCTGGCGCCATACCTTTGAACGCAAGATATACACGGGTCGAAATCTCCAACAATTTCAGAACATCGGACGGACTGCACCCAAAGGACATATTCGTAGGGTTGCGCCGCGCTCAAGCGCAACAGAGTTTGTGTAAAGACTGCTCATACGTTATAGAACTGTTGGTGCACAGTAGGGACGATCATCGTCTAAGCATCAGGCTTCCATGAAAAGGACAAGCAGGTGTAGTAAGAACCACCTGAGCTTACGGTCGTCTCTTCGTCACGCGTCCGATAGAGCTAGCCTAAGGTAGACCGCTCCGGCATCTGGGGGGGGGGGGGGGGGGGGGGCACTCGCGGGTAG